TTTCTTTTGTTTTCCCCTCCCCTTTTTTTTTTTTTTTTGCCTCCCCCCCCCCCCCCAACCCAGCCCTCCTCCTCCTCTTTTTCACTCCCCCTCTGTCTCACATCTCTCGGGCGCCTCTCCGAGTCCATGTGCGCACCCTGCCCATTAAATTACAGTCCTCTCTAATAAAAGGTTGAACTTTCTTTACCCACTCATGTGGATGAAGAATCTGCCAGTTTCCCGCTGTTCCAAATTCCTGCCTTGAAATATTGAAATATTTTAAATTGTATGGTCACGTCGCGACCACAAAGATCAGTGTGGATTTTATATACGTTTTTTTTAAATGTATTTATACATTTTACTGTGAAGAAATAAAAAAAAATGACCCATTCTCTGCAAGCTTTGCAACATGTTCCCATTTCGTTTCAGGATTTAACTGGACCACTCCGGCACATGTACACATATCTCTACATGCTCAAAGTTAACCTTCCACACTTTCAGATTAAAAGTAACTTCTGAAAATAACATTCACGCAGGTGTTGAATATAATTTATAATAAGCCCACATGTCTGTATTATTTTTTTTTAGTATTGGTCTGATGCAATATTCTTATTTGAAATGTTGGGTTTTTAATAGTGGCAAGTGGAAAATCAACATAATTAACAGAAAAAAGGCTTTCAAACATCAATCTTTGTATCAAAACACGACATTTAAAATTAGAATTTTACATCAGATCAGTAATAATAATGAAAACTGTAATACAGTAATGTAAGTTTAATATATAATCTACATAAGGTATTTAATTTGGTAATAAAGTTCCTGAACTATATTTGATGTGTATTGATGATTTTGACGATGGCACTCGTCAAAATGTAATGTTTGTCACCGGTTTCTCAATTGTTGCCTATATGTTGTTTTTATGAGACTTTGTCCTTGTGTTTTTTATGATGTAAAGCACGTTGAACTGCATGGGTGCTTACATGTACTATACTGTGTAGTCATGGACTGTATCGCGTTGATACGCCTCATAAAAGTCCAACAATAAACGACAAGGTTGGTTGTAACTAAGCAAAAAGTGGAAAACTTCATGAGACGTGAATACTTTGGAAACTCTTCATAGCCAGACCAGTGAAAGCGTTGCTGAGCGTCACGTGTTCACACAGCTGAACCCACTCTGAACCTGCCGGTTCCAGCTTACTCCCTTACATCTCCACTCCCTACACACCGGTGCCATTACGTCCCGGCCTTCCAATAAATTAAACCCATTTACTCTTCTGAATTATGTTATGCTTATTGATGCTCGTATAATTTAATTTCACGCAAACTCCATTAAAGATGATGCTCTCTGTCACAGCGCGGCGCTTCCAGGAGGAGGGAATCTAATCGGGTTATAATGGATCAGAGACATGCATTACAGTGAAGATACGCACACAAACACGTGGCCCAACACGCACCCTCGTGTGCGCGCCAGTTGTCATCTTAATAATGCAAACTCGAGCAAACAGATCAATGATCGCAGCAATGATGCTGTCAAACTGCACTAAGTGACAGGAAGCTTTCAGAGCTCGCTATCAAAAGGAAGCAATCTCTGGGGGGTTGCACTGTTCCCCGGCCCTGCTGGGAAATAAATATGTCACCTCTTCGGTACGTCTTCATCAATATTTGCTCATGCGCTCAGAGGCACTAAATTAAAGAACCCTAGACATTAAACACCTGATTCAAATATTTGCGTCGCATATTAAATTATTACGGTGCGCCACTTTCACGAGGCGTACCAACATCTGAATTTAATCGCCGTTTAGGGTTTGAGTAATAATCAACCTGACATGTTTTTCAAAAGTGGCTCTTTGGACTCATCCAATAATACTTAATAGCTGCCAGTTAATAAAAAACATTCAGGCTTTTTTTTTTTTTTTTTGGCAAATATGAAATGTGTTTAGTTGTATGTAATGGTTTGACTTCAGTTGACCGTGGCTGAGCAAAAGCGTAATCACTTACCAGCACCCTTTCTGTTGCAAAGTTTTCTCTATGGCTACTTCTTAAAGCTGCTTTTATAAAATAAAATGTTTTTTTTTTTTGCATACTAGTTAAAACTATTGCCATACAGAACATGAGACAGATAATCAGTGAAAAGATGCAACGCTCCTGACCAAAAACAACCAATCAGAGCCAGGAGGAGGATCTTGTCGCTGTCAGTCAACCTTGTGAACGTGCTGCTAAATGTGCTAATGGTAGAGAAAGAACTCACTGCTACAGGAAAATCATTTATCTGTGGCCATGCTAACTAGCCTTAGCATTCACTACAGACTCTGCCTTACCAGAAGAAGCTGTTTCATACCACAGAGCAAGAGGGGGAGGAGGCGAGGTAAGCAGCACGCAAATGGGTATGATTGGCAGCGCTAAGACCCGCCTCCTGGCTCTGATTGGTTGTTTCTCGTTAGCACTGGGAGAAGGCAGAGGAACTTGTTTTTTCCCACAGATTATGGGTTTCGTACCATACTCTAATGACATAGTGACAGTATTGATGAATATGTAAAAAAATATTTTTATAAAAGTTACATGGCAGCTTTAACTTTGAGTATTCATATCATTACATCCGCACTGATCACAGGAAACAGTTCGTTAAAAATTTTCCACAGGTCAAAAGTTTTGCATTAAAATACCAGCCACTTCATATTTTACTGCCATTCAAGAATTCAACGTCGTGTTGCTCGTTTTTTGTTTTAAAAGAGGGGACTAATGCTGTTTTCTCTTTTATCTCAGAAGAAAGAAACTGAATCCACAGCTGCAGCTGTTCGGGCTCATCATATTCCGCGTTTCTTAAAATCGCTGCTTAGTGTTCTTTTTTTTTTTTTTGAGTCTGTTAAACAATGCGAAGCTGTCAATGAGATCATATATCCAAAGTCCTTCTTTTGTTTTTGTTTTTTCTGCACCCTAAAATGCGGGTTATTCATCCCGTATCGGCGACCTGCCCACTGACTCATCATGCAACAGATAAAACGTAATAATTACAGCAATTAGCGACCCCATTTGACAATTCTGACATCCTGGAGTTTCACATCAGCCGTTCCTGACTCACTGCCCCCAACCATAATCTTCCAAAACACGGTTTTCCTTTCCCTCTGTCACGACAGCGAGTAAAGGCTTAGTCACAGAGCGATAAAAAAACAGGAGAAAAATAACCAATTTGTATAGTTTTCAATTATTTTTTTCCTCTTCTTCCACTTTCCTCATTCACTCAATAATAAATAAATATATCGTCATCTATATCAGGGAAGGGGAAAATAACGGCGTACAGTTAGACGGTAAAGACAGACTTTGTAGCCTGAGCTCCATTTTTCTCCCGCTTCCCCCTGCCTCAGAAAGTGACAGGCTTATAAAGAACACGTTTATCCCACAGTTCCCTATAAGCCATTTGTCAGGCCTGAGTTTGAGTTTATCAAGGGCCTGTAATAAGCTCCATGTAGCCCAGGTCCGCCGTGGCTTTGTCTTCATTTACCTGCCTGTACATGTGCTGTATTCAGGATTAATTTGCCGCTTTGATGTATTAAAAAGAGCCGCGGGATTTTCAGTGGCATGCTCCCCAAGGTGGACGCCTTTAAAAGGAGGTTTTTCTTCATTCCAGCACTTAGGTTTATTACAGATCCCCAGACTTGTCCAATTTTGAAGAAATATGCCCCCAAAATAGCAGGATAATTTTTTTTCTTCCCCCCCCCCCCCCACATCCCCCGCCCCCTCGTGGTGATTCCTGTACAGGAAAACCCAACATGGCAACCGGCCGAAACTTTTACGAGACCTGAGCGGTGGGGGTTGCGTAACGGAGGAAAAATACTTGCTTTAGTTTTGAAATGCAGGAGGAAAAGGAATTGTCTCGAGTGGGTTATGTCGGTGTGTCATCTCCATCGTCCTTATTGCATGTTGCGTGTGTCTCCCCCTCCCCCCTCCCCCCGTGGAAATGATATTTGTAATTATGGCCTTTCATTATGACTGCAATAACAGACGCTTGGATGACTAAACAAGCAGCAATCCAAACATCCACTTATCTGTGTACATCTCCCGCAAAAAAGTTTACAAAATTTGAAAACAAAAACAGGGGGAGTAATGTCCATAACCCAAATGTGATGACACATCAAACTGCTCACCAAACAAAGCTGCTCTGTCATATACTTCCTGTTGTTTTATTTGCCTAATCCAGTGTTTATACGAAGTGGACACAAAGACGGAGGGGGGGGTGGCTTGTAGCACTCGCTACGTGAAAAGGTCTACTAAATGTCTCCCATTTCTGCTTCCCTCTTCAGACATGTGTAACATTAAGGAACACATCCATCCATCTTTTTCATTTTCCTTTTTTTCCAGAGATTCATCCGTCCTCATGCAGTCTTCCACCAAACATTCCCACTGGCCAAACTAATTTTTCGTTTCCTCTTCATGACGGTACTGAAAGTTGTGCAAGCCGATTTCTTCCACTCAAAATATTCTGCAACAGCCTTGGTAAGTTTTCTATGTACAGAGGAAGAGTATGGTTATATTTTAATAAAGATCGCAGGTCACGATGCTGATGATATTTATTGCTCACCTGTCGGGTTCATGAGTGAGAGTAGTGAGCGACAAATAATAATTATGTTCCTTGTTTCAAACTTGCAAGGACTGTGATGGGATTTCATGTCGAGATCTCACGAGACAAAGAGGTTAGGATTTTTTCAGATTGAACTACAGTTTGTCTCACAACCTAAATTTGCCAGGCGAGATATGAAGGCAGGAACTTTAAGCTACAAACCCAGAAGAAAACCCTCAAAGTAGTTCCTAGCGTTAACCCCCGTGCTGACAGATGGGGCGTTCAAATGTCCGAGAAGTTGGAGTTTAAAACCAGAAATGATTAGAGTTGATTAGAGCGTAGACTTACTACACTTACTACTTGAAATGATCACCGAAAATTGAGTAATTCATGAAATCGTGTCTTTGTTTTCACAAACTGGCTGACTTACTGACTGAGGGGGTTTTCACACCTCGTCGTCCAGTAGACTCGGTTTGACTGGGGACCAAAATTCCTTCTTTCATCTGGTGTCGTTCGCTTTCACACAGCATTGCCTGAAAATGGAAATACCTTCTATTCGTTCAACATGATCTTGAATACACTATAAAGGAAATAAGTCTGTAAAAATATAGAACATCAATGCAAAACATATTGAACCCTGCTAACTCTTGTCTTGGGGAAACACAGCAAGCAGGTGGAAACAGAATTTTTCCATCGATGTAGGCAACTTCAACTTCAGAAAATATGTCCATCATGTAAGTCAAGACCTTTGAGAGAGAAACTGTTCAATTGCAATTGCCTTAAAAAACAGTATTCACACAAATCGACGAGCAGACACNTTGGCTCAGGCATTCACTCTCAATCCCATTTAAACTAGAGCTACACATTTACAATCTTAAAACTGTTATGATCGTAAATATTGCCAATCTTAACATTACAATTAAAAAAATTAAAAATCATAGAGATTCTACAGTCTAACCGTGATAATCAAGATGCAGAGAGAGAGAGAAAACATCGAATCTGAACCGAGGCGAGACGTTTGCGCCGCTTCATTTTTACTCAGCTCTCAGGTGGAACCCTCTGCATGAACCTCCTAGCAGGTCATCAATAACCGGCGCATATCTGCATCTAAGAACCATTAGCTCATCTGCCACAGCGGGTCAGTGTCAATACGCCTGGCATGCTCTCACTTAACAGATGTTGCGTGTTGTCCAACGCACCCACGTGCCTTGCTTTATCCTTAATGCACCGGTGGACACAGATGCACGTCGCTATGGCAACCCTATTCATCTGCAAATCTCACCGGAAACGCACTGAATCCCCGCTCCCCCCCCCCCCCCCCACAACCCCCCCCCCCCCCCCCCCCCCCCCCCCCCCGCCCCCACCCC